GTGCATCATAAATCAGAGGGTGCTAATTGCTTTTGTCCTACTTTATGCAGCAATTTAGGATATGCAACCAGACTTGAAATATTTGTTTTGGCTTTTAGTTTATTTCCTTTTCCATATCCTGTGTATCCTAGCTTATGGCCATTGGGAGACCGGGTAATTGCTTGATCAATTTGGTGATCTTTTTTACTCCATATGTGTCTAACTAATGTTACTTTTTTTTGCTTTTGTTTTAATCTTGTAAGCTGGGGGCTAATAACATGAGCGATTTATTTGTCTAATAATTGCTGGGGGGCTAATAATTGCCTTGATTTGGCTTATAATCTACTACACCCAATGTTTGTGATATTGCCTAGACAGAGGTAAACATATCTACAAATTGACCTTCATGTCTGTGCTTCAATTATACTATGCTAAATACATCTGCATTGTTAGGTTTAGTTCTTGGCTGTTGGAGAAAGGACAGGGATTGGGCTAACTCTAGAGTTACTGGTTTTGTCTATTTTTTTTGGATGACTCCTCTGCTTTTTTCTTCAGTATCTTCAGACTTTCATGTGCCACCAGATTGAAGACCAATTGGATGGTTTCTTTTATTTTTTACTTGATTTTGGATTCTCCTATCTCGCGACGCCAGATGAATCATATTTAGTCCTCATTTTCCCATGTCTAGCGGTGGTCGTACTCAATCTAATGTTTCTTGCAGTCCTGCTCCATGAAAGGTACGATGCTACCTCAGAATAGTGCTCCATTCCAATGTTGCACTGAATTTGTACAACCTACAATTCTTTGAGCACCTGATAGTGGTTATCTACCTTTATACTGAGGACTGGATTTGAGACTAGTCAAGGGAAATCAATGAAGACTATCATTTTTTCAATTCAGAGGGTGGCATATTTTTCTTCAGTAATGAAAGTAAGTAAGTTGAAGGCATGAAAATCCAATTCTATCATTTTAATGACATGTTAAATAACAAGGAAAATGGCCTATTCGGATAACCTATTCAAATAAATTGTGAGCATCCTGCACTACCGGAGCACTGAATTGTTGCAGGGCAACAACGAGGTATGAGCCCGCGCTGAGGGGATGGCATGACGTCGGTCAAGTTTAGCGGTACCAACTGAAGGTCTTGTTTTCTATACCAACTAATAAATTTTGGTTTGCTTCATCATGTTATTTGGGGAATAGGACACACCATTATCTGCAATTGTCTTGGGTACAAAAGCTTTATCTAATTATTTGCAAGGATCAGAAGGAGCAGGTCCTTTTATTGGCTAAATTTGTAAAAAAATAACTATTGCAGGAGCACATTCTAACAATATTCCAGATCAGTGTAGTGGGCGGATGGTTGCATGGAAAAAAAGGGAGAACAACCACTCTTGGTAAGAATAAACTCAGCTTTGCAATCTGAATGTTTTTTTAATCTCTAAGTTTTATTGTCTCCTCTGCTTCACGCAATATATTTCTACTATTATTCAATTTGATCGGTCTACAAGATCCGTTAGTCCTTTTCAAATAATGAATTCTTGTTTAAGATACAGAAAAAGGCATCATTGCTTGTTGACTTTTCTGAAAACCATTGTTTTTTTCTTTGCCAAAGTAATTGTTGTTCTTCGAGTGAGATGACATAAATAGTATGGTAAATGCATCCAACAATTGTTTTCATTCCTTGCCGCAGCAAAATCACAAACTGTACCTATATCCCAATCACTTGATTATTGTGCTCCCCCTATGATTGTGTTTGATGGATGCCTGTTATTTGAGATTTTAAGATCTTGCTGCTCCGGTAAATTTGTTTGGGCTCTTTACTGCAATATATGTTAACTGCTTTCAGTAGCTTCACAGATTTTTGCAGTCTTATTATCTTTTTACCTTTTCACTTATTCATATAGTGTAGGAATAGATTGATCTATGGGAAAAGAAGCGAACAACCATAACCCTATATCACACAGCACACAACAGCTGCTGATATATGATGAAATGGAATATGATTTGTGAATGTTACCTTGTCTTAGATATCACTCCTATCCATTCACATACCTATTGGCCATATAGTTTTTTTAGACCTATCATTACTCTTTTCCATTTACATACCTCTTGGCCATATAGTTTTTTTTGACCCATCATTCAATTGAATTAATATTTCTTGTTTTCAATGGTATAGAGGTTCGCAATAAATCTGATAGCTTTCGATTTATTAAGTTGACGCTCATAGCCTGATGGCTTTTGATTAATTAGACTGACGCTCATAGCCTGATGGCTTTTGATTTGTTAAGTTTAAACTCATGTCATGTTTCCTAAAGATAAAATCGTACCTAGGCTATGCTCATGCAAATGAAACTATGTACCGTACCCTTCTGATGTCAGAAATGACAGTTCCGGTACTCTAATTAGTTTCAACTAAGATTCATATTTGTATCTCAAAATACAAAAATAATTTTCCTGCTCACTTTACAAAGTACGAATGCCCTTCGAAATGCAAGTCATTGATGTGCTTACTGAATGTTTTTGGTTGATTTAAACCTTAGAAGTTCAAAATTTGACTATTTCTTTTATATACTGCATAAGCTGCTAGAAATTAGAAGAAATGCTCCCCTCAGCTATTTTCCTTTTTTTAGAAAATTTCTACTTGACTAAATAAGATAGCAACTGAGGTCAATCAAAATTGTTTTGTATTATCACAGTATGAACCCTCTATATCTCAGTACTGTATTCAAGGAAACCACTCTTGACAGCACTCACACAGTGCTTGCAATATACACATAAAAACAATAGATTGCTTCTTTCTGCTTCCTTACGTCTAACAATTTCTTCCTACAGATGCAGCATCATCAAGCTCGCAGTCATGGTCGCCCTAATCATGTGCCCAGGCAAAGGTCAGACTTGAGAATCACACAAACCAAAGACAATTAACCTAACATGATTCCATTTTTTCCAACAGGTTCCTCCACCTGTTGCACATAGCCTCCTCCCATGAACTTGAAACGACCAAGAATGGACAACAACCACCACCTATGCTACCTGCTCAGGCACCACTAGCTTTAGCATCTGCCTAGATTATATATATATATATATATATATATATATATACATATCCTACCTGCTCAAACACCACTAGCTCTAGCACCTGCCCAGACTTATGTAATATATGTAGATTGTACATATCCAGCAGTTATCATACATTAACTATGTAAATGACCAGCAACCTATCCCTATATCTATGTAGTTTGCACGCATTCTAAATACCCATCGATCAAGGTATCTAATCTATGTAAATGCTAACCGCCTGTAACATGTGAACCATCCATGAATGAACCGAACTATGATCCTTTGCCCTCGCGCGCGAGGGCGCGCGCTTTACACTAGTTAGAGCCGGACTCCATGCATTGGTTTGGAATCAGTTCCCCTTTCCATATCCGTCAACCAACAAGGAGAACACGCATCGCCCATCTCTACTCCTCCATCCATCAGCAATGCCGCATCGATCAGAAACAATGCCGCGCAGAAAGGTTGGGCTCATCCCACCGAACGATCAGACCATCCATCGCCCGCCCCTACTTCTCCCCCGATTTCTCCATCGATCGCCCCTAGTTCTCCATCGATTTCTCCGTCTATCAAAGGCAACAACGCCCCGCACAAAGATTGGGCTGATCCGCAACCGCACCGATCTCGCCGTGAACTACGCGAAGCGGAAGGATAGGCCGAAGAAGAAGGCCCCCGGGATCGCCACATTCAGACCGGCGGCTGCGCTCGTCTGCGCCGATGGCGGCGACCATGCGGCGGCCCCGGCGGATGTGTGGAGGTCGGAGGAGGAGCCGGACGGCGCCCTTGCCCAGGATCCCGCGTTGCACATACACGGCAGGTACGCGGAGGAGGTGGCCAAGCTCGACGAGGAGCGGCAGGAGGGCCCCAGGGAACTGAATCGGTGGGACGTGGCGCTGGAGGTCTTCACGACAGAGGAGGCGTACCGGCTGCGCCGGTTCGTGGACAAGGTTTTGCAGCCCGTGAACGAGAGGAGGGAGACGCTGGGTCTATCGTCGGTCCATGATGATGAGAACGGCGGCGACGACGTGCTCGATGGGACCGCGTTGCCGGCCGGGTCCAATGCCGTCACGCTGCTAGGGCACGGCGACGGCGGCGTTCCCTGCATCGGAAACGACTTCTTCACGGGTGTTAACAGCGAGACGTGGGCATGCCGGGCAATGGCAGAGATCGTGCCATGGGGGACAATGGCTTCCTGCAGCCGTGCAACACCATCAGTATGCATCCTGACGAGTCAAGCATGGATGGCTACCAGCAGCATATGGCGGCGGCGATGGACATGTACGGCTACGACTACGACAGGATGGCCGCCATCAACCAGCAACTCGCGTGTGACGTCTGTCAGCAGAGCGCGACGCAGCATGAGTATGGTTTCCAATGCATCTGCAACGGTGGAGTCCAGCCTACCGACGGCAACTTCGCTGGTGCACCACTAGCCCTGCCACTCACCATGAGCTATGGTGACGACCTGATGAACGCCGGCACAAGCCTGCAAACCAACAACCCCGATTCTCAGCATTACCTCTGCTATCCGGAAGACATGCATCTGCAGAACTGCAACACAGGGGAAAATAATCTTCCTTCCATTCAGTCTCTAGAGCCATTGCCGCCTGCTGCAGCACCGAGCAACGAGCAATTTTCCAGGAGCCAAGGCTGGTTAGGAGAAATTCATCATCTTGGACATGGCGGTACAGGCTGAAACACTTTCAGGACTTTTTCAGTTAATCATCAGGATTAGAGGGGATTGAGATTGAATCCCCTCCAATCCCCTCGGATTGGTGACGAACTGAACCTTCAGAGGATTAGGGATTAACCGAAATGTTTTCATGATGTCAGTTTGAAATACAAAATGGACATTGAGAAACTGAAATAGCAATCATTTATCTTCCTTGTTTATCTCTTATGCATTATGATGTGCAATCTATAAAATCAAATCGTTTCTGGTTGTTCTCACAAAATGTTAATCACAATTCTCCCTTGTTCCTGTACACAAATCGCTTCGAAAAGTACAAGAACACGGCCACGTCTAGAGCGGCGAGCCCCGCCAGGAGCCAGTAGAAGTAGTCGAGGTGCGCCCGGTTGATGCTGTCAGAGATCCAGCTCTCCCCGCTGCCGCCTCTGGTCGCCCAGTCGACCGCCGACACAAGCATGCCGCTGGCGTAGCTGCCCGCGCCCAGAGCGCTCAGGCTCAGCACGAGCCCGACGCTGCGGAGCGCGTCGGGCACCTGGTCGTAGAACTCCTCTAGCCCGATATCGGCCAGCACCTCCGCCAGGCCCATCAGGACGTACTGAGGCACCAGCCACCATAGGCTCATCGGCACCGCCACGTCCGGCAAGTCCACCACGCCCGCGTCCCTGGCCACGCGGAGCCGCTTGGCTTCCGCGAGCGCCGCGAGCCCGCGACAACCATGGCGACGCAGGACATGGCGATGCCAGCGCCGATGCGCTGGAGCGTGGTGCCCCGTGACGCGCCTTGCCACGGGCACGAAGGCACGGTCGTAGATCGGGAGCATGGTGATGAAGGTGAAACTGACTAGGCACTGGAGCGCGGTGGCTGACAAGGTCAGTGTCGACGAAATCTGGTCGGCACTCTACCGAGGAGTGGAGATGCGTGTGATACAAACAGATGGTAACAGAGACACAAGACATAAGATTTATATATGTTTAGGCCGTCGGCCGTCAGTTTGACGTAATACCCTACATTCTGTGCTCTGTTGTTTTGTATTGGTTGTGTATCAGATTCGTTATATCCCGTCTAGGGGACCCTTACCTCTCCTTATATACTCTGGAGGGGTAGGGTTATCAGAAAAATATCATATTTGATATTATACAATAAATCATATTTTCATGTAGTCTTGCGGTGCACGTTTTGATCTCGTGGGCTATGCCACAATTGTGGCGCGGTCCATGTCTTATCTTGTGGATACCGGGGGTATATTCCCCACAGCTAGTCCCCGAGCGTCTTGCATCCTTTAAGCAACGGTGTCTTGAACAAGTCCGAGCAGTTTGACGTGAAGCCAGCCAGTTTAACTGGTGATCCAAACGGTGAAAATCGAAGCCGACCAGTTTAACTGTGACCTAGGCGGTGAAAGTCGAAGACGACCAGTTTAACTGGTACGCAGATCTCAGACTTAGCCAATTAAGGCTTGCCAGAAGGATGTAAGGGGCTCAAGATAAAAAATTAAAAATTCTCCACCTTAGGCGAAGTCTAGCCACTTAGACTCCGTTTGCGAGGAATCATCCATGATTTAGTCAATAAAGAGGGTAAATCAAGAAAAGAGTACTACATTCACCGCTAGGTGAAGTGTAGTCACTTAGTTCTCGAGCCTTCTAGAAGATGAAGAAATAAATCTTATAGCAGGGTCAAAGAAAATAAGCCTGAAAGCTTACCAATGTCATCTGTCATGTGCGTATCAAGACCCCAGACGTGCTGTCCAAGATCAGCACCCTGATCCGAACAGCATGAAGAAAGTTGATAGCACACCGATGAGACGTAGTAAGATCCGATCACCAAGGGAGTCCCTAGCTTAGCTGACGACTCTTGCACGAAGAATCCGAACGCCGAGGAGTCTCCAGCTTAGCTGGCGATGAAGCGACGAACAATCCAAACGCCGAGGAGTCCCCAGCTTAGCTGGCGATGAAGCGACGAACAATCCGACCAGTTGGTTGGCGAAGAATCGAGCACCGAGCAGCCCAACCAACTGGTCGGCGGCGAAGTGAGCGCCGAACAGTTCGACCAGCTGGTTGGCGACGAAGGTCATGAACCTAGCGATCCAACTAGTTGATCGGCAGAGAAAACAGCGGCGAAGCTTGCCGTGAGACATCGACCTTAGGTGAAGTGTGCACACTTAGGCTTCGTTGGCGAAGTCAGATGATCATCATCTATGACTTAGTCAAAGAGAATGTTAGTATTGATACTTGCGCCGCAAGGTGTAATGTATACATTGTAGTTCCCGTGCCTGACAGTAGGTGAAGAATGCACCTGGTGTCAGGATCAAAGAAGTACAACGATCGCTTAATCGAAATAATGAGTCCCACTTAACCGAAAGACACTTTGCCAAATTTCACTTAGTCAAGACCAATGAGAAGAAAAACGAAGACACTCATCGCTAGGTGAAGTGCACACACTTAGTCCCCGAGCCTTCTATAAGATAGAGCAGCATCTTGCAACCAGATCAAAGAAACAAGTGAAAAGGTCGAAATCCCTGTACTGAGCACCGGACATTGGAGTAAAATTTGGAGAGTGCTGAGCACTTAAAATGGAGAAAATATAGAGAGTGCTTACCACTTTACCGTTGGAGAAAATTAGAGAGTGCTTAGCACTTAAACCGTGGAAAAAATGGAGTGCTTAGCACTATACCGTGGAGAAAATGGAGAGCATGGAGAGTGCTTAGCACTATACCGTGGTGAGATTGGAGAACATGAAGAATATTGGAGAACATGGCGAAAATTGGAGACCGTGGTAAAATTTGGAGATCATGGCAAAAATAGGAGACCGTGGAGAAATTTGGAGAACCGTGGTGAAAATTAGAGACCGTGGCGAAAATTGGAGACCATGGCGAAATTTGGGAACCGTGGAAAAAATTGGAGACCGTGGCAAAAATTAGAGAACCGTGGCGAAAATTGGAGACCATGGCGAAAATTGGAGATTGTGGCGAAATTTGAAGAACCGTGGCGAAAATTGGAACCATGGCAAAATTGGAGACCGTGGCGAATTAGGAGAACCGTAGCGAAAATTGAAGAAGCGTGGCGAAAATTGGAGACCGTGGCGAAATTTTGAGAACTGTGGCGAAAATTGGAGACCGTGGCGCAAATTGGAGACCGTGGCGAAAATTGGAGAATCGGGGCGAAAATTGGAGAACCGTGGAGAGTTCTTTGCGGCGGTTGTCATTGCGGCGCGGCACGGCTTGGCGGCTCGGGCGGCTTTTCAGCTCGGCGACTCTTGCGGCTCGGTGGCTCGACGACATGATGGCTCAGCGGCACGGAGGCTACGCAGAGTCATAGGCAAACGAGCGTAATCAGAGCGTGGCGGAGTCAATTCGCATGGGGAGGCGAAGCCCTTGAGCGTGTCTGACCAAGGGAACGGCGCAGTCCGATTTGAATGGCGATAGTATACGTCATCTTAAAGATGTTTAGCATGGAGAAATAAGTAACTTGAGAAAAATTATGGAAAACAAATGGAGAGTGCTTAACACTTTACCGTTGGAGAAAATTGAAGAGTGCTTAGCACTATACCGTGGCGAGATTGGAGAACATGGAGAATATTGGACAACATGGCAAAAATTGGAGACCGTGGCAAAATTTGGAGATCATGGTGAAAATTGAAGATCGTGGCGAAATTTGGAGAACCGTGGCGAAAATTGGAGAACCGTGGCAAAAATTGGAGAACGTGACGAAAATTGGAGAACCGTGACAAAAATTGGAGAACGTGACGAAAATTGGAGACCGTGGCAAAATTTGGAGAACCGTGGAAAAAATTAGAGACCGTGGCAAAAATTAGAGACCGTGGCAAAAATTAGAGAATCGTGGCGAAAATTAGAGACCATGGCAAAATTTAGAGAACCGTAGCGAAAATTAGAGAACCATGGCGAAAATTGGAGACCGTGGCGAAATTTTGAGAACCGTGGCAAAAATTAGAGACCGTGGCGCAAATTGGAGACCGTGGCGAAATTTGGAGAACCGTGGCAAAAATTGGAGAACCGGGGCGAAAATTGGAGAATCGTGGAGAGTTCTTTGCGGCGTTTATCATCACGGTGTGGCGCATCTTGATTACGACTCAGGCGGCTCGTTTAGTAGCTCGCTTGGCGTCTCGGGTGGCTTTTCGGCTCGGTGGCTCGATGGCTCGGTGGCACGACGACTCGGCGACATGGAGGCTACGCAGAGTCGTAGGCAAACGGGCGTAATCGGAGCCTGGCGGAGTCAATTCGCGTGGGGAGGCGAAGCCCTTGAGCGTGTCCGACCATGGCGACGACGCAGTCCAATTTGAATGGGATAGTATACGTCATCTTAAAGATGTTTAGCATAGAGAAATAAGTATTTTGAGAAAAATTATGGAAAACAAATGGAGAAAGTACAGGGCCGCCACTGCTGTTGACAGTTATCAAGGTAGACAAAGTTATATATATATATATATTAAAATATTCAATGGAAAAAAGCATGACTTAGCTCGTTTGGATTGATATCATTGGAGTCAAGTTTTGTGAGTGTAGATCGGTAGCAAGGGAATTTATTTCTTGCATGCATGCTCGAGGCTGTATGTAGATGCAGTCAAAACCCCATGATAGTTTGTTTACTTATCTTGCATGGTATTGTAGATAATACGTCGTCCTTTGGTTGTTGAAGTTGATCTTAGTGAAAATCACAATGTGTCGGTGACCAATACTAGGGTATCCGAAGAGGAGGAGCTAATGGTCAACAACATTGATTTATTCGAGCAGTTAAGAGCGTGACTACAGCTCCAACCGAACCCTAGGTGCGTGGGCTCCCCCTCGCCCGACCTCTGGGGGGGGGGCTCCACCTCGCCCGACCCCGAGGTCACGGGCTCCATCTTGCCCGACCTCAAGGCCATGGGCTCCGCCTCACCCGACCTCAAGGCCACGGGCTCCGCCTCATCCGACCCTGAGGCCACAGGCTCTGTCTCGCCTGACCTATGGGGGAGGGCTCTGTCTTGCCCGACCCCGAGGCCGCGGGCTCTGCCTTGCCCGACCCTAAGGTCGTGGGCTCCGTCTCGCCTAACCTCAAGGCTATGGGCTTCGCCTCGCCCGACCCCAAGGCCACGGGCTCCGCCTCACCCGATCCTGAGGCCATGGGCTCCGTCTCGCCCAACCCTGAGGCCGCGGGCTCCGCCTCACCCGATGGGGTCCCATACCTCCGCCAACCACTCTAGGTCTAGGCTTATGGGCCTGGGTCAAAACTCTGACCCCCAAGGAACAGACCGACATGCCCTGATGTAACCCATGTCCATGACGGGCCATACCTGAGGGTTCACATCAAGAACAGCGTCGGGCATGCCGGTGTTGTTCTGCCTAACCATTGTACGAACGCTGATAGGCGTGTTAGTTCATCACGATGTCCGCTGGGATGGAATGGAACGCCATGACCGGCAGACGACGCCTACGCATGGAGCTAGTGATGGATACTGCCGTGACATGGAGCTATCCTTGTTGACATCTACAGGATCAGTGGGACCCGCATGAAGGAGAAGAAGGACCCAACGATCCTAGAAGCCTTCCTCTCTCGTTCTTCTCCTTTTCCTCCACTGTAATCCGCACTTTCCCTTGGCTTATAAAAGGGAAAGCAGGGCGCTCCATGAAGGGGATCGACCCATCGAAAACCAAGCAGGTCTAGATCCACACAAAAGCATGACACGAGCACATGGCTGAGTAGCACTCGGGCTCTCAGCACCCGTTCACTCCTTCCACCAGAGACTTGGGATCCTTTCCCTCTCTCGCCCGTTTGTAACCCCTACTACAAACCTTTAGTGCTAGTAACACGAGCAGCAACGACGAACTGG